TGATCTCACAGTACTGCAAATAGACCCGTTGCTTCATGTCTCTCTTTTTCTACATTTTATCCTATATCTTGAATACTGAAGTTGGGCTTGAACACCCCACTCATCACTTAAAAGGGAAAACAGACAATAAGCTGTAAGTTAAAAGCTGGGAGCTCTGGTAYGACAGTCGCTGATAGGCAAGGAAGAGAAACTCTCTGCAGAGTAACCTACTTTTTCTTCCCTCGGTTCTGCCACCGCTCGTGGAGGTGGAATTTGCCCGACTCTTTGGACAAAGGCTGCTTTGTTGTGTGTGAAAATCACATTGCTTTGGCAGATTGCAAAGAGAGCACCCGTAACAAAAATAACAATACCGACTTTCTGCCCAGTGGTGCATCTGTTCGAGGTTTGTTCTGCAACCTGCGATGTTTCTGGTTTGCTGAGAGATCCAGGATGTGCTCAYAGTGTCACTCAGAAGGCGTTAAGGCATCACTTTGAATCTGTTTTGTGAGGCCTGCTCCCCCTGCCACGTAGCAAGCCAAGGGTGTTTGGGTCTGTCAGCATCCTGCAGGCTCCCCACGTGCGCCCGAGCCYGGGCGCTGGGGGGTCCTGTGCTGCATTTGGCTTCCCTTGCCCAGGGCCSTGTGCCCGAAGGAGTCCCGCAGCAGGTATCTGCACAGAAAGYATCGTCTGACCTGCCAGAGCCGACGGCTTTGCTCCGGGCTGGCTCAGGAGGTTTTGGTGCTGGGCGCAGGGCAGCGGCAGCGAGAGGGGCTCGAGCGGCGCCCCGGCTCCTGGGCGGGCTCGCGTGCTGTGGGAAACGTGGAGCTCCGGAGGCTCCACTGGGCCTCTGCCGATGAGGACTTGGTTCAAAGCCYACTGTGGGGTCCAGGTCAGTGGGAGCCTTTCCATGAACATGAGATGAGGCGTGAACCGGCAGCCTGTCCGCTCTGCTCTGCCGTGGGGAAAGGCGCTTCCCACGCGGCACCGGGCGGTAGCAGCTCCGAGGCAGAGCCACCCAGGAGGTGCAGCAGCCCTTAGCAGGGCCTCCTTGGATCCTGACGTAAAATGCTCAAAGGAGGCTGCCGGGGACCTCAAACCCCTTCCCGTTTCTCAGGGAGCAAAATATTCCCGACCCCAACTTCCTTGAGACTTGCTAGGGGTATTGGCTCCAAGCTCTCAAGACACTGCTCCTTCATTTTCTTTACTTATAAAACTGCACTCTCCACATGTGGACCCCTCCCATGGGAAGGAGCGCTGCAGTGAGATCCCGGTGAGATTTGAACCATTGCTCCRTGTCAGCAGGAAGGGGTTTATGGCTAAGTGCACCTCAGTGTACGCTGTGCTGGGGGCCTGATCTGCTTCACCCCCGAGTTCATTCACTTTGTTCTTAACACTCGAGCCTTGGTRTGCTCTGCAAACGCACAGGATGACACAGTACGCACCACCGAGACATCGGGTCAATCAGCATTTTCATTAGGGTTGAATGGCTCTAATGTAGTCATAAAATTAGGCTCCAAAAGCAGGGCTTTGACATACAGCATTTAAAAGTCAAACCAGTTTGACCTTTTCTGGGCATGAATTCCTATAACTTAGAAATGGCCCCTTATGAAAAAGCTTAATGGTGCTAACTGACCCTTGAAAATATCATTAATTATTATTATTTGCCATGATGTACTTACATCAGCATATATTGCCATTWTGGCACCATCCAGCAACAGACAGACCTCACCCCAAGGGGCTCCTGAGCTAAATAAGGCCGGTCCTTGGGGTCTCGTGCAGCCCAGACTGAAGGGTTTTAGCAAAGAGCTGTAGGACGGAGCTTTGAACTTACAAGTATCTGCTGTGTCCCATACATCTGGACTGTTGTCACCTTGGCCATGACAACRTTGGGCCCAAAGGGTTGCTTTTCAGTGCTAATCTGATTCTAGGTAAGCTGGGGACCATCCGTGTTGTGCACTGTGCACCAAGCAGGTGCATTTGGGAAGCAGAGAGACATGGAGAAGGGAGGACTTAAGGTTTGTTAAACACATTGCAGTGATGAATGTTTCCTGGATCTTCACAGAGGAATTCAGAAAAATATTTTCCTAGATTTAGGCCAAAATTCCTCAAAAGGAGAGTCTAATATTAGGTGCCTTAAAAAGAGCCCTGCTTAGTACGACATTGCACACAGGAGTCAGTGGGAGCTCARGGCAATCAGGCCACTGCAGACCAGCCAGAGCATTGCCAGGTGTCCCTGGGTGGATGCTGTAGAGCATCTGAAAATACCAGTTCCAACTTTTGCTTTCCATTTGGCTGCTGATCAGTTATAAAGCCAATTAATTCTACTTAAAAGGGCCAGCAAAAAACCCACAGTGAAGTCTATTACCAGCTGGTTTTCCCCAAATGTACAGCACGGGCTATTTTGAGAATGATCTGCGGAGCTGAATATTTCAGAAGTATTTAGGGACATGAATTTGCTCTGTAGGTCTCTGGAAGAGAGAGCGGTCAGTTAAACCAGTAAAGCCAGTAAAAAAAGGCTGTCTGTGGGGCCACAGTAGCTCTGCAGAGGATATTAAAAGCAAAATGTGAGTAGCACACCCTGGGAGAGCCAAGGTTCACAGGGTTACGGGGTTGTTGTTTACTGCCATGTGAATGATTTAGGACATAGTATTTCCTCAGAATAGTTATTAATACTTTACAGCCCCTCTCAAGGTACTAGCTAAATCTATATGGCTTCTAGTGTCTGATGTGTGGTGACCTGCTACCACAACAGCCTGCCCTAGAGAGATTATAAATCTTTATAGGTGTTAGTTTCTAATTTATTAGCAGTTCAAGCAGTAAAGGTGGATATTTGGGTACTTTTAGCCCAAGATCATCGTTTCTAACCTCAGGGGCATAATTTGCAGAATTGCTGGCGACTTCCAAACTCCTTAAGGAATATCTGGGTGAAAAACATCAGTCCAACAGAGACGCTTTCCTGTGCGTGAGGTGTGAGCGAAAAGCAGTTGCACAACGTGCAAACATTTGAGCTGCCATTGCAATTATAATGTAGCATCTCTTCAGATCTGCCAGTGCACTTTGAGTGCTCACAACAGCAAGGCCAATGTTTCCCGAAGCTTTATCTCCACATACCAAATCTTCATCCTTTCCTCTTTGCATTTGTTCTCTAGCAGCCACTTGCCTTGGCATGGAGTATCAGCCATATGGGCGCTAGAATATCTGCTTTGACCTTGACCTCAGAATAAGTGCTGCCAACATGTGAAGATAATTCCTGCATTTCATTTCCAAGAGCGATGCTCCAAGAATACAGTAGGATGTGCAGAATGTGTTTTTCTCCTTGGCTAGGCGTTTTGCTAAGAGCATGCAGCTGACTAGGGTTTGGAAGCGAGTTCCCAGCTCAGCAGTGATGGTTAGCGGTCAAAGCAMGGCCCTTGACTTGATTAGAGGAATRAGTGCTGTACTCCTTTGGTCAATTTGTGCTTTATTTGTCATATCAAATAAAGCAATATGTGCTTTATTTATCGTATTACTTGCAAATGGATGTGGGTGATGCACAGGACTCTGAATAAACATTTCTTGGTGCTTGCATCACACCAACRTGCAACAGAGCTTTAGGATCCAATGGACACCTAATCAGAAACCTTCTTTGATTTCCACAAGTCTCATTCTTCCGTTTACTGATGGTGCCCATACGAAATATTCCCAAGAAAGTCAGACCTGAATGGCCTAATGGCACTTGCAGAGAAAGCTGGCAAGCTGGGAGAAGGAGGAGGGTGGCGAAGGGGGCAGGAGGAAACCCACATCCCAACTGGCCTGCAGCCCTCACGCAGTTGGGTGTCCTGCAGCTCTCCTGAGCTTGGACACAAGCTCCCTGCTTGGCTCCCAGATTTGTTTGGGCTGCAGCGTCTTTCACCTTGATACAGTGGTTGAAACCCAGCCTGGCACCGCGCTGGTGGTGCCAGCTGGTGCCCTTTGGTGCCTTGTGCCGAATGGATTCATTCCACGGGCTTCCTAGCAGGCACGGGACCGCATTGCAGGTGACAACATCAACATATGGAAACGGTGGCGTGTGATTGATGTGTTCCCTGCAAGTCGCAGTAACTCAGGGCATATTAGCCGTGCGTCCTGGGGAGGCTTATGCTATTGCAGCTGCCCGGGTCCATTGTCTGGAYTGTGAATAAATGGAGGAGTTGATGTTCCCAGTAGTGCGAGTCTGGAACATCACGACAGTGATGTGTGCTGCRGTTGGGAGGCGAGAGGCAAACGTCACAGACTCCAATCCCACGGCACATGTGGAGCGCAGGATACAGACAAACATTGGTATGTGAGTGCGGAAGGGCAGTAGTGTTAGATCGGATTGGAATCCTAATAATCATATGTTTTTTAAATGGCTATGATAGCTCCATTTTCTTATTTATTTTGGACATTTGCAGATTATCTGCATCTCATACTGCAAATAAGAGACAAGTTTCCCGAAGCTGATAAAAAGAAAACAAGATTTGAACCTAGGCAGCCCTCTCATCAAATATCCGTCCCCAGCCCCATTTCTTGGTTAAGGACAACTTTTGACCTKATTTTCAGCAAGGGCTAAGCTCTCCTAGAAAACAGATTGCTTAATGGCACCCAAAATTGGAGACAGCCCAAATCAGGGCTCTGTAGCGACGAGAATGAGCAGGCTAAGGTTTCCCAGAATCATAGGTCTCCTTATTTGGAGGCCTCTGGCCAAAGCCACAGAGGAAACGCGTCTTTCTGCATCTGCCACTGAGGGACAGGATGCTTTGTGGCCTCTAGGGGCAGGTGGGCTGCAGGTGCAAGCGGTACCTGCAGCGCTCTCCTGAATCCGCACTGCCAGCTCCCCCTCTTACCCCGCTGCCTCCCTGCAGCTTTCCCATTCCCGCCTTGCCGTGGYGGGCCCGGCAGACTCCTGTGCTCATGCTGCTCTCCTGGAGAAGGCAGAGCAGTGCCACGGAACAGCACGGTGGGCCGCCAGCCTCATGTACCCACCTCGCCTCTCACTCCCGCTCTCTGCTTTTTGCCCCCAGGTGTTCTGCTGATCTTGGCACTGACAGAAGAGCTGGTGTTTTCCGTTCAGGCCCTGTCTCCCGCTGCCTCCTCCTCCTCTCAGGGCTTCCTGATGGACACTCCCGCCGTCACAGCCATGGGCACGCCGCCGCCTCGCCGYGAGGAGCACCGCGCCGCGCAGCCCGCTCCGACGGCGGCGGCTCGCGCACTTCCCCGCTCCGCCAGCCCCGCGGAGCCGGCGGCGCCGGGCGCCGGGCGCAGGCAAGCGGGCAGCCGCCGCGCCGGCGAGAGGGAGAGGCACCGTTTGTACAACCAGAGCGCTTTGTACTCAGGACAGACTCGCCCCAGGGGGAAACTCACCCAGGATTCCCAAGGGAACTTCACAGAGCCGTCAGAGCCTTACCTGGAGGCGGCCCTGCACTCCCCCTTCCCCAGCCTGAGCGGCCCGTTCACAGAGCACCCGTATCCCGCCCCGAGCGCCACTTCCAGCGCTCCCACCGGCACGGGGCCGGCAAGAACTACGCGCCCGGCCCCTCCTGCCCACAGCAGCCCCTCGGGAGGCCGGAGGAGCGTGGAGCGCGGGGACGGCACGGAGCCGCTCGGGCGGGAAGCGGCTCTTGCCACTGCCGCTGCCAGGCCGGCAGCCGATGCCGGAGCGGCGACGGTGCCTTTCGGCCACCCCCACTATGACCTGTGGGATCTGCTGAGCAAAAACAGCTCCTGGGTAACCTTGAACCTCAGTACGAATGTCCCCTTGTTTGCCGGCCCTGGAACTGCGACGGCGGCAGCAGGTCACRCCGTTCAGACCGGTTTCGATGTCTCCTCTGCGACAGTGGGTGACCCCAGGGGAGCTGCTCCCACGGGGCCGGACACCACCGTGTTGGGCAGCGCTGTCCCCACGGCGCCCGCCACGGCCTTCTCCAGCTCCGTGTCCACCGCTGGCTCCACTGCAACCGGCAACTTCCTAAACAGACTGGTTCCCGCCGGGACCTGGAAACCTGGCGTGCAGGGAAACATCTCCCACGTCACTGAGGGGGACAAGCCCCAGCACAGAGCAACCATCTGCCTCAGCAAGATGGACATTGCCTGGATCATCCTGGCTATCAGCGTACCTATATCCTCATGTTGTAAGTTAATTGCCACTTTCTTTCCCTTTCTCTGTCTGTTTCCCTAAAATGCAGGTTTGGGCCCCACAGTTCAAGGGCTAGATGGAGAGTTGGCAGTGGCAGGGTAGCTTGAGACAGAGGAGAAACATTCCTCCAACAGACAGCACATTCACTGCCCAAAATACTTAGCATTTGCAACCTCCAGAACGTTAACATCTGCACTCACACACATGTTCTCTGTTGCTATTAGCAGWCCCTTAGCCCTTCTGGCCTGTACATTTGACTGTATAAGACAGAGGCTGAACATGGGAAGGCAAAGCAGCTTTACTTCCAAATTTTTAAATGGTAACCAAAAATTATGCAACTGTGCAATCTAGGAACATAGATTATATTTCATTGCAGGCAGTTTTTTGGGGTTTTTTTGAACTATTTGATTTTGAAGTCTCATCTTAAATTGCTCTTTTCCTGTACTTTTATTCTGAGTCTGACTTYGCAGCTACCTAGAGAACAAGAAGATTTTGAAATTTCAGTTTTCATGAAACGGACAGCAGGCACCTGCAGGAGCAACATGAATTAGGTTTGCAGAGATGACTTAGGATCTCATCGATTCTATCCAAAAAAAAGGAGGGGGGGGGAAAAAGGTTGTTGAAATATGAGAAAGTTGGGCCTGTGTCTCCCCTGCCCAACTTGGTGCTATCAGCAACGTGAGGCAGTGTATTGCTCTCTGATGCTGCACTCTGCAGAATCAGGAAGATGCCCCTAAATAGACTGTGATTATCCTGCTGTTCCTGGAGARCAAGTAGCAATGGAGTGAAACAAGAGCATAAACATTTGCCAGCCATTGCTGCCTGAGGTASATTAAAAGGGTAGCCAGCACTATTGACCATTAATCCTGCTCTGTGCAGTCACGAGCTAGATTGAGGACAGGGTTGGGGGTGTTGATCGAGCCAGTCTAACAACAACCTGCTCATGCCAGAGGGTGTTGCTCTCTTCTGCCCTCAGCAAGACTTGGCTTTGCGATCCTGCCCCTTTCCTTCTACCTGACACCTCTGTGAGCCTGTTCAGACTGATAAACCAGTCAAAAAATTTGCTCTGTTCATTGCTGTTTTTCTCTCCCCATAGCGAGCTGAATCAGTTCCCCACAGGGTCAGATAGTCACGAGCTGTGGAACAGGTGAAGGAGAAGGAACACAGCTGGCAAGGGAGCAGGGCTCACCCTTTGTCACCTCCAGCTTGACCTGTGCCTCTAGGACCATCAGTTCCACTACTGCCAGCTTCAGTAAAACTGCTGGTGAAGTCAAAACTTAAATTGCGAAGACTGAGAATCAAAATAAAGGGAAAGCAAGGCACAAATGTATGCACATACACTTGCACACACTTCTGTGAAAGGTGCGGAGGAGAATCCAGGGTATACCAAGGATAGCATAGTGATAAGATGCAATATGTGATAATATGATGAATAAAAAGATTGTAGAAATGTTCTTCCAAGCATTATGGTTTGGACTGATGTTCCAGAGAGAGAGCTGCTCTAGATAGTGTATCTCCAAATGCAAAATATAGTACCATAAAACACAAACATAGGAGGCCTATCCAGCATGTAAAGCTGCAATTTGCCATACTACTACCAGTAGTGGTGGTAGTAGTGGTGGTAGTAGTAGAAGTAGTAGTAGTGGTAGTAGTAGTAGTAGTAGTAGTAGTGGTAGTAGTAGTAGTAATATAAAGAGTCCTTTGGCAAGACTTCTAGCCCATTATTCATTGGGATTTAAACTTACCTTCTTATCATATGTCCCGTAACAGAATGGATTCATAAGACTGGATTTGTTTTGTTTCTTTTCTGTTTGTAAGCTGCATTTTAGAAAAGACAAACGTTGTTCTGAAAATTCCCWATACCAGCTCTGATACAACTGAATGTTTTTGTGATTCAGATATTTAGGTCTTGCTCTCAGGACCAGCTTTCAGAAGATGGTCTTCAGTGGGATTCTTCTTTTAAAATCTGKCATCCTCAGATGTATTTTGGAGATGAAATGAGTGGTAGATGGACCTTTAAATGTTTTGTGAGTCTGGCTGAAGCGGTATTGTCAGAGTTTATTCCTATAAGAGAACAAAAATCAATCATACAAACCTATTGCATTTTCACTCAGGTACGYGCGGGTCTACATAAGGGGGTAAAAATTGTACTCCTAACTGACCGAAATTAAAGCAGTGGAGGTCAGGGCCCAGGCCAAACCGGAGCTACGGTTGGAAGCAGCGCTCAAACTCCTGGACAGCGTCCGCAAGGGAACATACGTGTGGGGCGCCGGAATGGCCGCCCTTGCCGCACGGCTTGATCCCAGCAGCAGGGATGAGGGGAAGCTGTGGTCTCCAGGCTTCACCCATCCAGTGGCATCGTTCCCTTTTTCCTCTCCTGAGACTCCCGGTTTTCCCAGGCCGCCGCAGGCCGCTCCCGCCGCCTACACGAGCGGTTGCCGCCACCTTCCGGYGCTGAGGGGCCCGGCCGGGAGGCGGCCACCGGGATGGGGCTTCCCGGTGCCTCTTGTTCACGAGGCCGCCCCAGTTCCCGAGTCCCAGCAAAGGCCCTTGAACTTCTAAACGGAAAAGTAGTGCTTTGATGCTGGGGAAGGAACACATCTGCCACATCTGCTACATGGATTTGGGGAAATAAATCACCTTTTGGTGAACTTCTGTTTCCAGTACTGCTCACTCCACCTGAGAGCTACAAAAATGAAGGGTTCTGAATCATTCCATTCCCAGAAAAGCACAGTAGCATGTAGCACTGATGGAGATATTTTCCACACGTCACAGTTCCTTTTCTCTTTTGTGATGTCCTTCAGGCAGCCTTGAGCATTTTGTACGTGTGTGTGTGCCTGTCATACATCCTGCTGCACTGCTGAATGAGACACACTGTGAAGTCATTTTAAAACCCACAGGCCTGATCCTTGGGTTCCCAGTACGTACAGTTCCGTAATTACAGAATTACGTGATAAAATGCTGAAGAATAGAAGGTTGCAAATCAGAGGCCCAAAAGTCAATTCATTTAGTCAGTTCTGCTGACATGAGACAATGCAAGAGAGAGGCCGAGTCTCCAAATGGAAATGTCAGCAGAACTCAAAGAGAAAATGAAGAATTGTCTTGGTCCTAACCCCACCTAGCTCATATTTCATGGGCTGGGACACTTTCCAGAATTATCTCACTTTCCCAATTAAAAAAGTGGGGCTATTTGTTTCCTGGTGCGAGAGTGATCCCAAGACCAGAGTCCAGTGTCCAAGTGTGAGCTCAGACCAAGCTTGAGAGGCAATTGCTGTCCCCAAATGTAAGCAGCCGTGGTCAGTAACAAAACACACTGTGGTACCAGTAATAGAGAGGAGGTTGTACAAATATAGACAGTCCAATATAGACAGATGCAGTGAGGCTTGTTTGCCACTACCTATTCTTCAGTCTCACCATTGTGTTTAACAAGGAATCACACTAAAAGAAATATGGATAAAATGCARTTTTATTCCCTGAGGTAAGGGTTCTTGAGCGACTTACTTTATATTATGGTCTATAATGGGGAGAAGTAAATTTTGATTTCCCTAGTATCCTCTAGTCTTATTTTTTCTTGTTTGCAACATTCAACTTTGCTAATTTCCTATTTTATGTGGGAGTTAGGAGGGGGATATACAGTAATATAAGAATAGTAAAATTTTTAAGCAAGTTTGAGTGGATAGACAGAAACCTATCAAATAAGTTTAGGGAGTAGGTTTTATCTCATTACTCCACTTTATGATACCATTACTGAATATGGTATATAATCGTGGTGGTTTGTCTTAAAAAAAAAAAAAAAAAAAAAAAAAAAAAAAGATTAGAAAGGACTCATAGAAGAGCCATGGGAATGATTTAAGAGTTCAGAAATCCAGCTTAAATAAACCTGAGTAGCTATGAAGTAGTAATATGTAGTCCAAGAAAAGGCTTGATATCAATATATGGGGTATTTCTCTTAGCGTAATGGAGAGCTTAATAAAACAAGAACAACCAAAAGATACTGGGGAAGCAACAGTTGAGTCTGGGTTCAGACTAGGACATTGTGACCTGTAATGGAAAGTCGATATTGAAACAACCTTCTTGGAAATGGGATGGAAATCCAATTACTCCAGGTCCTTAAACCAAGCTGAGTGTTTTGTTTTGAGATGTTTTGTACTTTAGCTAGAACTCATAGACAGGGACCAAAATTATCAGGTGAAACTCTCTGGTTTTACAGGTGTACAGATGATCAACATGTTTCCACCAGCCTGGAAATCTGTGAATCTGAGAGAATCCCTTTTCTCCTGTTTGTGGGATGCATTATGTTTTGTTTGAACCTCTAATGTCCACAAAATTGCAAAGACCCAGGCTATTTCCTACCTGTCTGGTAATCCTTGCATGGGGAGCTTCCAGGTGACCCATGGACATCACTAAGATGCCTTTCTCCTGGTGCTTAGCATCAGCTTTAGAATGAAGAAAGAGAAAGGAAAAGCCAGTTTGACTTTCCTGGCTCCCATGAAAGACCCAGGTGACCATTTGAAGGTGCAGACCATCTAGGTGACCATTGTGATTGCTTGTAATTCACCGTGGGAGTGAACGGTTGCCTAAGGATAGGCACAGATCTGTTCCTAGGATTGTTCTGCAAGTGAAGGGGCCTATGTTTAGCTCCGTTCCTTTCACTGAGACATGCCAGTTAAGACTCCTCAGTCATTTAATGCGAGAAAGAGAGGGAATACCCTCAATTCCAGCCCTTTCCCTCTTAAATGAGGTCTCCTGTGCTCTGAATCGAGGCACCCTACGGAGACAGCCTCTCGCTAACATGTGCTGTGCRTGATTTCTGAGGGCGCTGTGGGACTCTGTCTCCACCGTCTTCTCCCCATTTGCCCATTTGTGCACTGGGGTGGCCGCCCAAGAGTCCAACTAACGGAGAAGAGCAAAGGCCAAAGCCACCGGAGTCGAAGGCTGGGTGATAGTAACTTGGGCAATGGCCAGCTTTTCTGGAATGCTGCAGGAGATTTTTCCATTAGTTGCATAGGAAGATTTATAGTATGAACTCACCTTTCCCTTCGAATGAGACATAAAACCCCTGAACTCAAAGGCATTAGCAATTTTGCTTAGTAGTTTTTATTTTTACTATTATTATTTTAAATAGAGCTCTAGCCTACACTTTTGTATTGCCATCTTATGTGACTAGATGGGATGTGAAATTAAATCCACAGCATATGGGTAGTTGCTGTGTTTGTCAAAACATATAAAGCAGTTTTGACCTCTCTGATGTCTTTTCTTCCCTCTAGGCTATAATTCTAATAAATTAACTTTGGATGTAGCTGAGAAAATAATAWATTTTTCTGCTTCATGAATATGTTCTTCTTCCCTGTTGTGCAGGATTTAGATATGCTGTAGTGAATCTGCAGCAAGGCATTCCCTATTTCACCAATCAAAGTYCAAATCAAAGTCCATATCCAGCTAGCTGCCGGTCAGTATAAATCAGGTAGATCACGAGCCCAAATGTTCCATTAATTCCACAGGTGTAAAGCAGGCCTACTCCTTCCCCGCCGAACAAACCCTTGTGCATGCCTCAAATTCCACGGAGCGCAGCCCAGCGGGAGCAATCCGCTCCTTCCAGTGGGTTTGGGTTCCATAAAATTCCCAAAATTACGAATGTGAACGGGAGCAGGGATGACTAAGCTGGAAGCGATTCCCGCAAGGGAGCAGGCGGCCTGCTCTGGAAGCACCGTTGCAGCGTCGCTGCCGCCCGCGCCTGGCTGGGCCCCTTAGGCCAAGCAGTTAAACCAGCCTTGCTCACTCGCTGGCCACATAGTTCTGCCTAGCTGCTSTGCTTTCAGCTCAAGGGTTTCAGCTAAAACTTGTCTCACAGCTATGAGGGAAAAGCCACCCAGCCACCATCAGTGCCCTGCAAGCGCAGGGAGCTCCAGCCACCTCATCAGTAGACACCATATCCTGATACAGGTGATACAGAAATAAAAAGAAGAAACAGTTCAGGGCTGACCTGAAGGAGAATGTTTTCCAAAGGCCAATAATGTTCCCCTAGAAAATATAAGCTACACAAGCGAGTTGCTGGAGTAGCTCCCTGGTGCCACCTCAGGGCCTCCCTATTGAAGAGCCTCTCTGTCCCCATGGCCAGATTATGTTTCTGAGCATGGCCACAAAATGCCTAAAAGTCARCCTGTGTGTGTGAGATGACAAGGACAAGAATCAGCAGCAGTTCAGAGTGGGACGGTTTGGCATGKAAGCCTTACAACTAAGGTACTGATGGATTTGGTGTTTGAGGCGAGGCCGGGTGTCTCTCACAGCCCGTTTGCTAGTGGACTCGTTGCTGCAGTGTCAGGGCACGCTAGGAAGGGAGCAGTGTAGTGGCCTCCTTGGCATCCTTGTGAAATGTCCTCTGTCCTAGAGGATCCCTCAGTCCCTGCTTAGAGATAAAAATACCCTCCAGTTATGGACACCAAAGCCTTTTCATGAGCAGGGCAGCTGCATCTTGAAGATTATGAACTTGCAAAAAGAAAATAAGAACTGCATATCCTGGCAAGCCCCAAGCTTCATCTGCCTGGCGCAGATTCTGATTTAATTGTGTGGTTTTGTTGACTGAGAGTGAAATGCCAAGTCAGAGTTAATTGTAAGATGCAGGTTGCCCATGCTCTCCTTAAGAAGTAGCTTAAAAAACAAATCCATTATACTGATGAGTCCCTACTGAAAGGAAATAACCGAGTTCTTGACGTGTTTCTATTGACAGCAGTTCTGCTGACAGTCTGCTGCATGAGGAGGAAGAAAAAGACATCCAACCCCGAAAACAATTTGAGCTATTGGAATAACGCTATCACCATGGACTACTTCAACAGGCACGCTGTCGAGCTGCCGCGAGAGATCCAGTCCCTGGAGACGTCAGAGGTATCTCACTTGCATGACTGTGTCCTAAAGATTTAACTGAAGCCATGCTGGGAGAAAGGGAGAGGAAAAAATATGAATAAAGCCTTGGAATCCCTATGCATATTCAGGGAAGCCACTTTTCAAGAAAGACCTGCTCACACAAGTGTGTTTTGAAGTCAGCAGAAGCTGGCTGTCATCCTGTTCCCTGGCTTTGCAGGTTTGCTTTATGTTGCTGTGTGCTCCTGGGTCACAACTTCAACTGTTGTTACCACTAGGTGATTTTTTTCCCCACTTTCTCCTAATTTGAGCCTGTGGCCAATGTCTAACCCTCCCATGAACAAGTAGGAGCACTRTTCTTCCTGACAGTGAGGGCGACAGAGCCCTGGCACAGGCTGCCCAGAGAGGTTGTGGAGTCTCCTTCTTTGGAGATCTTTAAAACCCGCTTGGACGCAGCCCTGTGCCACGTGCTCTAGGTGACCCTGCGTGAGCAGGGGGTTGGACTCGATGACCTCTGAGGTCCCTTCCAACCTTCGGCATTCTGTGATTCTGTGATTTGAACCAACCCATAACTGATAGCCAGTCCTTGTAGCCTCCCCAGTGTGCATGTCCCACATTGCATTACACAGCGGGGGCAGTGGCAGTTCATAATGTAAAGAAAATTTGTGCACTGACATCTCAGAGTTGCCTGTAGCTGCTCAAATAAGAGTTTGGAGAGTAAGTGTTCCTGATTGATCAAAAATTCAAGACATCGGCCTGTGTGTAGTGCTGATATATGTACGCTGGTCAGCCTCAACTCCAGGGTCCTCCCTGGTTCAGTGGGATAGTTCATATACGGGCAGGTGATCCCACTGATAGAAATGTTTTATTATCGGGCCTCAGAGTAATTTGGCTTAGTTCAGAGGTTTTTAGCAACTAGAAGCAGTCAATAGTTTGGGCTTTAGCTAAAGATATTTTCAAGAGATGTACTCCCTGACAAACATCTCTGGTTCAATTAGAAAAATGTGTGTTCAGAAAGGAGCCTTTGAGAAGTGACTAGACTAGTGAGCTAGACTAGTGCTCACAAACACCTCATTAATTCCACTTTCCTGGCAACCATTTAGCTCAGGCTAAAGTCAGATTCTGGTTTAGGCTTACCCAGAAATAGTTTTCAAATTATCGCACTATTCGCATGTGGGATCATCTCCAAAAGCTGTCACTTGAGTCATTTTAAACTGACCAGTGCATTACTGAACTGTGCTATTCCCCAGCTAGCTTGGAACCATATATTTGACTATTTCTGCCCTAAGAAAAAGAGAAGCTGAAGATGCACCTTGGAGAAGTCAAACCCAGCTGGCAGACAGCAAATTGTTGCAATGCACCATTAGTTTAAAAAAAAAATGTTTTTGGAGGCTTAAATTCTGCTAAAACACCTAAAACTTGGTATAACAGGCTTTGGGGGTCCTGRTTTAGTGGGAAAAAATCAGCTTGATTATCACTGCTCCACTCACAGCTCCAGTGGCCTTCGGGTAACCTGCCAAAGCTGCTGAGAAGCTCCTCAGCTGGGGCACCCCAACATTCACACAGTTTCTCAGGGTGGGAACATACATCCTAGGGGTAAAAACAACAGTGCCTTTTTCACAAGTGTGTGCCCACTACAGAGAGGCTGGTGGGTAGGTCGTCCTCATGCCGGTTCTCCGTGTCTCTCCTAGGACCACCTCTCGGAGCCGCGCTCCCCGGCCAACGGCGACTACCGAGACAGCGGCATGGTCCTCGTGAACCCCTTCTGTCAAGAAACGCTCTTTGTAGGACGTGAGCAAGTGTCTGAAATATGACCCCATAGCTGCCCCTGTATTGCAGTTTCCTCTCGACTCTCTCCAAATTATAAATAAATATATATATTATAAATATAGCCTTTGTGTAACCCTGAACTATGAGAAATGTTTTCAGCTTTTCTTTTCCCCCCCCCTCAGAATTGTCAACCTCTTTTTTATAAGTGTGGTAAAACTTTACAGAACAAACTGTGGCTTTATAAAATAAAGGTATTTCTAAGCAAAGCACCTGTCAGATGGGTTGTTTTCTTCACTTCATCTGCTGCTGAATATCCTGAATTGGTAAGAATATAATTCACTGGCTGGTTTTAATGCAGGCAGTGTTTGGTGCAGCATCCAGCGATGGCTTAGGAGCCGCATGAAGGTGCGTGACCTCTCCCAGCGTGTCTGTGAGTGTTCCTGCTCCGTGACCGTCCCTCACCTACACTTCTTTTATTSTGAAATTACTTAGGCTGTGACCTGGCAATCACATGGCAATTGCATGGATGGGTATCCGCTGAACGACTGCAGCACTGGCTGGGATGAGCCTTCCCGCGTCTCCCTCCTACTTAAGCCGAACTGGGATCCTCAAACACCACGGAGGGAGAGCAGAGGGCCGCCTACCGTGGCAGTGGGGCAGTTGCGGTGCTCCAGACAAACCAAATGCACCTTTGCAGGGTACACAGAGGACATGGGCAAACCTGTCCAGCTAGTACTGTTAGATATTTTAGATATTAACTTGCTAAGACTTAGATAGGAGCCCCAAGTTTCTTCCCCAATGGTGTCTTAGCAGAGAGAGGACCAGAGTGACCTCTTTTCCCTCCACAAAGGTCCTAACCAGTGCACTTTGGATTCACAGCTGCTCTGCTCCAGCCCAATGAGTCTTTAATTATTTCCTGCAGAGCAAAGAGCATGAGCAGAAGGAATATAGAGTGTCCTCTTCAAAGAGACASAAGTCTCTTCTCCATTTATCAGAGGAGCTTGAAATCTGTTGGTGAGGAGCTTCTACCTTATATGCTTAGACTTCTCGGGCCTTTGAATCCAGACTCCTTACACTCCCTCTCTTTTCTAGGGCTTTCCTTCTTGTCTTAGGGATGAAAACACGGTGTTTCGGAGTGAAACAGTGCTTCAGTGCTCCCCAGTTAAGGGTTAGATTGAATGCTGCAATGGTATTATGGGGGCTGTAAGGGTAAATGAAGCTTAAATAGTGGAAGAAAAATAGGCTCTTACAGGTAGAGAATAACAAGGAAGGTGGAGTGTCATTGCCTAAGCTGATGTTCTCCCTTTGAGGAACCCAGCAGGGTTCCTGTGAGACCCATTCTCCGTTTTGCTTCTGAGGTTGCCTGCTCTGTGCTGTTCAGCAGCTGAAGCAGCCTGTGTGCCTTGAGGTCGGGGTGGGGAGCGGGCACTGAGACGGCAGGGGATTCACCCCGCGCTCCAGCTGGCTGCTTCGTGCCCGGGCTGCTCGCCTCTATTGGCCCTTTGCCTCAAAGGGAAGCGGAGCATCGTGAAACATGTGCCTTGGTTGAGGTAGGATAAAGGAAAAGGGGAATTASGATTGTTACACATCTTGTCCAGCTGTTCTCGCCTGTAGTAACATCYCCGTGGTGGGTAGTTGGAGTAGCCTGAAAGCTTCACTAACTGGTACCTGTTACCTGACAGACATGTGGCTACCCCTGGGACCCAGTGGCCACGAAGATCTTCACCCCCACATCCTCCCTCTGTCCCCCACACACACATCTGCACTTAGGCATCAGTCTGACTGCCAGATTGATTCATCTGATATTTTAGATGTTTGGTTTTCTGTTCTGCATCAAAGAGTAATGCATTGCTTCCCTAAGAGGTGGCTGGGGACCCATTAAGATCTGTCTGTATGTGGACATGGATGGGCACTTTGGGAATACAGGTAGTCTCTTCACAGTGGGATACAARCCATGCAATGTTACCTATGGTCCTCGCAGTCAAATACTAAACAGTCTGCTGAAAATGCTGTTTCACTTATGACATAAAAACTTCCCAAGAGTCTTGCCAAGAGACAGCCAGCATAGTACAACCTTCATCTTTCCCTCCGTGTACCTAAACAAGGAGGCAGAAAGGGAGAATGACATGACAAAGAGTGAAATTCAATTCCTTTGGGAGGAAATTGGAATTTTTATGTGTTATTTTCTGTGCCTGGTACTGCTCTTGCATGGCAGATTTCTTTTTCACTTGACACACAACAAATACACTAACAGTGTTATGTAAGAAATACTAGAGGACTCCTCTTGTTTTGCCGGTACAGTTTGCCTAGTAGCCTAAATTCAGGATACCTAGAAATCAACAGAAAACATTTGCAAAGCTGTGAGACACCCTGGCATTCCCGGGTTTCCCACGTGTGGGAAATGGCACCCTGATTGAGATCACAGCCCCCAGGCCTGCAAGCCACACCTGGCCACCAGGCTCAGGCRCATCCGTAGCAAAGGAATCCCTCATCCCAGTCTGTGTTACCAGAGTCTCGGCTGATCGCCCCTAAACAAACCAGCACATGAGGTCAGTGCCCAACATCAGCACATTACAGGCGTGCCTGCAAAGACGCTCGTACTTCAATCCTGACCCGGGACGACTGCAGCGTTGGAGCCATGAAGCATCTGTTGACTTAGGTGTAGCCGTGTAGAAAACACYGTGTCATCCATCTACAATGAGCACACAGCTAAGTCTCCTTCTGGATTACATCCTGCCCCGCTCAAACATGTCTGAACTGCCCACTTGTTTGCTACAGAGCACTAACACAGAAAGAAGAGCAGAGAAGATCTCCCACAGCTCCACACGAAGACTGGGGAGCTGCTCCACGTTCCTCGTCCAGCTGGGCCTGGCACCTCTGCTGCTCTGCTGGGCAGTTGGAGGGAAATGGGCCCTTGCCCAGCRGACAAGGTGCCATCCATAGGTGATGTTTAACAGGATGCTTAGGGGTAGGTGGGAGAGCTGAGAGGCTGCTGGGGTTACAGTGGTGCCTGGGGGTGGGTGGTGGAGTCAAAGCACCAAGAAATGGTGCAGTCCGGGAGGGAATGAGGGCAGGCTGCAGGCTGGAAAAAGCCGGCAGGGTCCAGCCGCCTGCTCGAAAGTTCAGTTTTTGTTAACTTTGTCACTTTGCTGCAACGCGTTGTGTCCAGAGCAAGCGCAGGTGCGAGCAGCTAATGTGTTTGTAGTGTTCGTGTAGGTACACGGGGCTGGAAGGATGGGAAATCATCTGGCTGCCAGAGCAGAAAGCGCTGGTGGGTATTTCAGCGCGATGAATTCCTGTCCCGCCGTCCCTGTAAACACCATTGTGTTTCCCGGGCCACATTTGCAGCAGCAGCAGCAGAGAGATTTCTCTTGAAATGGACTGCTGACGGCGCGGGACGGCGCGCACAATGCGGCGCCCGCCACGCCGCTCAATGCCCGCCCTCCTTCCAGAAGGACGGCGGACAAAGCGCCAACAAGGCCGAGMCCAAAGCTGCTTGGCTCGGCAGATCCCGCCAGCGCCGCGAGCGCACAGGGCCGAAGCAGCGGGGCCGGCGCGGCGGACGCGAGCTGCACCATGCCCTTGCCGCGGCGCCGCTCGTCCTTCCTGGGCCAGCAGCCCTCCTCCWCCTCCTCCTCCTCGGCGGCGGAGAGCGCGGCGGCGGCCGGGCGCCGCGTCAGCGTGGGCGGCGGGGCAAGGCCGCCRGGCGTCTACGTGGGCTCGGCGCCGCCGGGAGGAGTGAGCAGCCTGGGCACGCGCGTGTCCCGCCGCGCGCTGGGCATCACCAGCGTCTTCCTGCAGGGCCTGCGCAGCTCCTGCTCCGCCGTGCCCCTGGCGCCGGGGCTGGAGAAGGGCCGCGGCCTCTCCTACGAGAGCCTCAACGGCTGCCTGGTGGAGTACATAGAGAAGGTGCGGGCGCTCGAGCAGGTCAACCAGGAGCTGGAGGAGCACATCAGGGTCTACCTGGACAAGAAGTCCTCCAGCATCAGCAGCTGGGGAGCGCTCAGGGAGAACTGGGAGGCCATTTACCACCAGGTAAGGAAGGGCGAGGGGCGCCCCAGGTGCAGGGGTTTCAGTCTCTCCCTGTGGTAACTAGTGCTGCTGTGGCGTGGCGGGTTGTGGAAAACGCCTACGAAGCCGCAGAGCTGCCTCAGGCGTCCCACCCGTGGGGCTGCCCGAAACGCACCCTAGGGCGCCACACTCGGGTCTGATTCCAATGGGTGGCTGTCGCCTTCTGCTTTTTTCTTAGTCGTGGTTATTACACTGAGCAGCAAAACTATTAAAAGAAAACTGCTAGGACAGAATTAGTTTATCAACACAATATCGTTACAAGCATTTTGTGTTCTTTTTTAATTGGCAGTTCATATTTTTACATTATYCCCTCATTTGCTTAATCACATTTTCAAAAGCTCTATTTATTTAAAGATACTAATTGCGTGGCAGCAAGTGAGTAGCCACCCGTAACTCCCCTCTTGCCGGTACAGGGCCAGCTGCCCGCTTTGCAGGGGGGCTGTGAAGGAAAGTGCCTGGGGAGTGTGACACGGGGCATCTTGTACCTCGGATCTATCGGCTACCCTCAGCGGGACATCTCAGCCAGGTCTGCAGCAGCTCCTGCTCCCCAGCGTAGCTGGTCTCTTCAGCCCTGAGCAGGGCCGGGGCCAGGACGGGGAGCAGAGCAGGGGCTATTGCTCGAAGCAAAACCCCGGGGAGCAGGAGGAGGGAAACCTGCAAAAGGGGTGAGGGAACCTGGCCGTGGGGCACTCCATTGGTCCACACTGGGCAAAAGGACCTGCTCCCTGCAAGAGGCTGCCCCCAAACCTCCAGGGCTCTCCCAGGAGGAACAGCAGCAGTTGCTGCTTTGCTTCCCTTACGTGGCTGGTGCTGGCAAAATGGGGAACCTCTCCACGATGGAGGTGAAAGGAAGGGATCCCAAGGAGCCGAGGAACAGCAGTGTTCTCACATCTTTTTTTTGACGCCCTGCACTTCAGCCTCGTGCCCAGTAGCTTGTACACAGCCACAGAAATGGTACTTTTTGGTTGAATAAAGAGCTTCAAATTCCCTGACCCACTTTYGCATTTCACCTCAGCCTGCCCACAGTTTTCCCTCTGGCATGGACAGGGGATGTGTTTCAACTGCGCTGCCTATCTGCAACCAGAAGGCTACAGATGTCCTCTGAATCTTGTATTTTACTAGGCCGTGGCATAAAATSTTAGGCAAAGATCACGTGAGCAGCAGTGCCGGGCTAAGCACTGGCTCTCCGAGATGT